TTCTGGCATTGTTGGAAGGGCACTTCAGGGTCCCCTGGCAGGGGACCACCATTGTTCCTTACAGTCTCCCTTAAATCTAATCTTCTTGGTGAACGTGACCTGTCTTAACGTGTCTGTGTTTCCTAGGTTTGACGTTACCTGGCTTAACGTGTCTGTTTCCTGGTCTAACGGGACCACATCCATTACCCAAACGATGTCCGGATGGACCAGTCAAGCTGACAACACTCTGTTTCGCGATCTTACGGGACCAGTCAAGCTGACTACCTTTCTGCTTCGCAGTCTCACGGGGCCAGTCAAGCTGACTACCTTTCCATTTCGCGGTCCCGCGACCGGTCACTCTAGTTAGTGCAAGTGCCGGCCTGAGCCGACCCGTCAAGCGACGGTGGTCCGTTCCGCACGGCTAAATCCAACCAGTCAGGGACATCCAAGTGACCATCTGTTTCCCGGTCTGAGCGAACCCGGTCATGTTGTTCTGTGAGGGGCCCTCCGCAACTAAGTCTATTCTGCGGTCCCTCTCTGAACCCTGATAATCAAAAGTTATTTTCATGGGCTTAGTTGGGGGTTTTGCTGTCTTGTCTTGATTTAAGAGTTAGGTAAGGGGTAAGCAGGATCTGCCAAGCAGGCAGACACGAGTCCGACAGGATGGGGAGTCAGTTTCTGTCCTGGCTGAGGAATGTAAGGTCTGCGGGTCAACTAGAAGATTTACCAGCCAAAGGGGGGTTAGAGACACACCAACACTATTCAACATACACACTCTGTTTACGATGTTTACGTTAAGTCAGGAGTCTGGACATTGGATGTGACCGGATCTTAGATGCGGGAGGTGGAAGGTCCTCCTCTACGCCAGTTTAGGGCCAATAGAAATATTTCCTTCTCTGTCTTTCAAGGGTTATAAAACATGATGTTCTTGCTGATGTTAGTTAGTTGTTCTTCCGGCCTGTGTGCTGCCTGAACTGCTCCTGCCTTTGCAAACGCAGCGCTGATACTTGACCTGTGATCTGACAAATAAATTTCCCAGAACGAGAGAAGTCATTCGGCTGAATTTTTGATAACCCCGACCAGGCTCCAAATCTTGAACACGTATTCTTACAACCCCAACTGTCCTGTTCTGCGGTCCACCGTGACCACCCCTATCTGGTCTGTGGACTTACACAACCACAACCTGTCCTTGTCTGCGGTCAACCTCGACCCCCAACTTATCCTGTCCTTTGGTCTGGCAGACCCTCTCTTTTACTTCGGGATCTTCTGAAGCCCACCATGCCTTACTGTGGTCCAGCTAGACCCTCGCTATGTGCTGCGGCTTCCCTGGCCCCCGTGTCCTTGTCTGTGGTTCAACTAGCCCTCCTCTCTCATTGTCCTGTTAACCTTTGCCTGGTTTCTCGGCTCTACGTGACTTACTATATGTCCCCTTGTGACACCAGCTCCGGATCAGGACCCGCAGTGGCCGTAAGTATTTATTTTATTCCATCAAATAAACCGGGTTTGGGGGGATATGCCTCGTCTCGGCTCGAGTTTCCGGCCCCGGGTCTATCCTGCGGCAGGATGGAGTCCAAGCCCCAAACAACTTGCAATATCATATTATACCTGTTATAATAAAGCATTGTTCAAATTTCAACAAGTCTCTCCGGATTGAAATAAAGCTTAGGCGAAAATTCAGTCAGGAAGACTGGACAGGCTGTGCCGTTCCCTGGTGGCCTCCTCTCTCCCTGGTGGCCTCCTCTCTTCCTGGGGGCGCACGGCCAGCTGATTAGGGGCGGGGTCGGGTAGTATCAGACGTGGGTGTCGTTACCGTAAACCAATCGCATTGGGGCAGGCAAATGTTAAAAACTGTTCTCCTCTCTTGTGCTGTCAGTTGTCATTTCAGCACGCTCCAAAGGTGACCCGCCACCACCCCTGACACCTCCAATCTACAGCAGAACCTGGCATAGCAGGAGAGTTCTGCAACTTGGGCTCTACTACCACCACCACCAGTGTCTGGACTCCCAAGGGGGGGATATGCCTCGTCTCGGCTCGAGATCCCGGCCCCGGGTCTATCCTGCGGCAGGATGGAGTCCAAGCCCCAAACAACTTGCAATATCATATTATACCTGTTATAATAAAGCATTGTTCAAATTTCAACAAGTCTCTCCGGATTGAAATGTATTTATTCACATTAGGTCACATAATTCGAAAGCACAATCTATTCAATTTTGTGCTTTTTTTCACATTTTGAAGATGCTTGCCTTGTTTTTAAGGCTGTACATGTGCTTGCACTTTCTACATTAAATCAGTTCATAATAAAAGATAGAAGTGGCAGGGTAACAAAGGAAAGTATCAGAGGGATAGTGTTGTAAAATACAGCTGTACCAGGTTATTGATCTGCCCGAGGAAACAAATTGACCCTTTGCTTTGGCCCAATAAGCTGAGGTGAAAAGGGAAATCCTGATTTATTTTGCACCATGAATAAAATTCTCTATAAAATTGTTTTTCAGGCTAAAGGTTTAAATTTAGACCCATGCAGCGTGTCTCTAAAGCATGTTGATCCGATAGGAACCAGGCTTCAGTATCTGAAGTGTAACAATTAAACTAATTGATTTTCTGAACCAGGGGTAGAGAATGGCATAGATCAGAGGATTGAAACAGGAGTTACACTGAAACAACCATATTACAATGGTTGCAGATGAGATTGTGTACAGGTTATTTTGGGATGTTAGAACAAAACAATAATATGGACAAACACATATCATAAACAGAACTACAACAACACCAAGATTCCTGGCTGCTTTCATTTCAGACTTTTTAACGGTTACTTTCGTTGTCACAACTACAATGTGAGACCGCATGGCACGAGCCTGATACACAACCACCGCAAATATTCTAATATATAGAATGACAATAACAGTAATGGGAACAATGAATGTAACAATTAGATCAAAAACATAAGCGATGTAGTTCATGTCAATGACACACTCTCCTATGCAGGAGTTATACCTGCCTGGATGTTGCAGGTTATTCTTCATCAGCAGACTGTAAATTAAAGCAGCAAACATCCAACACAGACAAACACAGACTTGAACTGCTTTTGGTTTGACTTTGGTGAAGTAATGCAGAGGATAACAAATAGCCACATATCGATCTACTGATATGAGCACCATGGTTCCTACTGAGGACGAGATAATAATAGATGATAGAATCAACCAAAGAGAACACATGAGATCACTGAACAACCAGCAGCCTTCTATTATCATTATTTGAAAGATCATGTTAAGGCCCATGAAGAAATCTGAGACGGCCAGAGAGAGGAGGAGGAGGTTGGTGGGGGTCTGGAGCTGCCTGGAGGGAAAGAAATATTGAATTCGGATCAATAATTATGGGATAATGGGAACTATTAGATGTAAATACACAATACAAGAAAAATGAATTAGCAAAATCTACAAATTTGTAACACTTGTTTCAATCTACCACTTTAACAATTAAATGAAATAATTCACTACTTGAAGTGGGAGATGGAGATGATGACCAGCAGGTTGAGAGCTAGAGTGAGCAGAGAGATGGAGGACAACACAATATAAATCAACATTGCTTCTAAGTGAGGACGAATTGGCTTTCTGCAGGAGGTGTTGATGAGTTGTGGAAAGCAAAGCTCAGTTCCAACCAAGGTTTCCATCACTGGAGAGGAGAAGCTGCAGAACAGCTTCAGCTGACTGGCCAAAGCTTCTTGTCTTATAACTGATTTGTCTCTTTACTTTGGGTCCACCCCTCCTACTGCATCACCTCTGATGTTGTTTGTGTCTCCATGGAGATTAAAGAACAAGAGTCTCTGTGCTCATCTTCCTTCCCGCTGGAGTTGATTATGATGTGTTTCGATGTTGACCTTTGACCCAGGACTTTCTGATCATGTACAATGTTTTTCATGAAATGTACTATTATAAGTGCCACCTACCGCCGCCCCCTTGGCTAGAACCCCTACCCAGGTAGGCACAGGTGTTTGTGCCCCGTGACCGGAAGTGTCCAATGTTTAGGGGAAGATTAGGCACCGGATTGTCGGAATGGATAGGGGAAAGCACAAGCCTGCATGAGGGCCCGCCATCTATCTATGTCAGATCAAGCGTTCTTCCTATTCAACCATTTGGAAGGGGAGGCTCGCGAGGAAATAAAGTTTCGCCCTAGTATAGAACGTGAAGACCCAGCTATAATAATTTCCATTTTACAAGAGCGTTACGGCTGTGCGGAGTCTTACGTAGCATTACAGGAAGTATTCTTTTCTCGTCGGCAGCAAGAAGGCGAGACGTTACAAGAGTTCTCCCTCGCGCTGATGGGCCTCATGATGGCAGTAAAGCAGCGTGCCCCCAACGGCATACCAAACGCAGAGGTTCTGTTGCGTGATCAATTTCTCGAGCATGTGCTCGATGGCACGCTCAGTTGGGAGCTTAAGCAGTGTGTGCGTAGACAGCCGGTCGCCACCTTCTCTGGAGGTAAGAGCCGAGGCTATTCGGTGGGAGCGAGAGGGTTTTCCAGGGGGCGCTAGGGGTCGAAGTGTCTCTGTTCCGTTAAACCTCGGGATTCAGTTTGCCGTCCAGAGTGCCCTACGGCCAGTTGTTAATTCCCCCCCGGTATCAGAGCTGAGTGAGGTTCGAGCGAAGCTAAAACTACAACAGGAGCAGCTCCACCAGCTTACCCAGAGTGTGGCACACTGGCACAGCTCTACTCGGCGTAGTCCTTCCCCTTACAATAGCTCCATCATATGTAGGCAATGCCAACAGCCTGGGCATTTTGAGAGGGAATCTGACGGAGAACGTGTCCCTGCTCGCGCACCTGAACCCGCAACTGCCCCTTCACCGTTTGATAGACTGTTTCGCCCTGCTTCAGGGTCGGGAAACTAGCACCCGCCGAACTGCAGAGCCACAGTTCAGAGGGGGCAGCCACTGGCTTCGAGGTTGATGTCGTCTTGTCCCTATCTAGGTGTGTGTATGGGTGGGGTTGAGTGTCCCCTGCTTGGGAGGGCAGTGTCCACTGGTTCCATGGTGTCCACCGTTACGGAGAGTTTCTTCCTCCAACAGTTTGAGCCCTGGGGTCAAGAGAGGCTGAGGTCCTGTCATTGGCTACAGCTTAGAGCCGCTAATGGGCTGGCCATTCCCTACCTTGGCTACGTAGAGCTCGATATTGAGCTCTGTGGTAAGTTGATTCTGCGGTGTGGGTTATTAGTGGTCAAAGACCCCCCCGGTGGTGTGTCCTCCCAGGTTCCCGGTATTTTGGGGACGAATGTCATCCACAAGTGCTATAAGGGGCTTTTCAGTTGGCATGGCTTGGCCATGTTCGACCTACCGGTGGTTACCAACAGCCCTGGGTTTGTTGTGGAGGCCTTGCAAAAGTGTCAGCAAGCTGGCACCCATCCCCGTGATGAGGTAGCTGGGCAGGTGAGAGTGCGAGGTAGGACGGCCTTTCGGATTCCTGGAGGTGTTATAAAACTTGTCCCCACCACCTGTTCTGCACAGTATGTGGACTACACTGTGCTATTTGAACCTCTAAGCTCTGGCTTACCAGCTGGGCTTCTTGCATCACCCGCTTTGGTCCGTGTTATACGGGGTACCGCCTACATCCCCATCGTAAACGTAGGTACCACCGATGTGTTGCTGTATTCACACTCAATTGTGGGTACATTGGACAAAGTCCACGTTGTGAGCCCACCCACAGGAGTCACTGAGGTGTCGACGGGTGTGGCCACAGTGGCCTCCCAAACCGCTGCTCTTCCAGTGCAAGACCAGATAGATGCCCTGGACCTGTCCGCCTTGACGGCTGCCGAGCAGGGCCCAGTGAAGTCTTTATTAGGAAAATACAATTCAGTCTTTTCTGCTCATGATGGAGACCTGGGCTGCACCGGCATGATCGCCCATGACATCCCTCTCTCTGATAACATTCCGGTTATGCAACGCCATTGGCGTATTCCCCCCTCCGAGTACGAGGTCGTAAAGGAGCACATTCACCAACTACTTGAGGCTCAGGTGATCCGGGAGAGTAGTAGCCCTTATTCCAGCCCCATTGTCCTGGTCAAAAAGAAGGATGGCACTTTAAGAATGTGCGTCGATTACAGGCAGCTCAATGCCAAAACTCGGAAAGACTCTTTTCCTCTTCCTCGCATCGAGGAATCGTTGGACGCACTCTCAGGTGCCAGCTGGTTTTCGACCTTGGACCTGGCCAGTGGGTAGAACCAGGTTCCAGTGGCGGAAGCAGATCGCCCCAAGACCGGTTTTTGCACGCCCTTTGGGCTCTTCGAGTGGAATTGCATGCCCTTTGGCCTCTGCAATGCCCCTGGCACCTTGCAGCGACTGATGCAGCGGCTATTTGGTGATCAACAGAATCAATCTTTGTTACTCTACCTGGATGACATCGTGGTTTTCTCCTCTTCCGTCCAGCAGCATGTGGAGAGGTTGGAAGTGGTGCTGGATCGGCTTAAGCGAGAGAACCTCAAGGCCAAACTCGCCAAATGTGCCTTTTTCCAGCCGGAGGTGCGTTATTTGGGGCATGTGATCTCCAGTACGGGTGTGGCCACAGATCCCAGTAAGATCGAGGTAGTCGCCAACTGGCAGCCCCCCACTACGGCCTCAGAGCTGCGGTCATTCCTTGGGTTTGCCAGCTACTATCTGCGTTTTGTGGAGGGTTTCGCCAAGTTAACAGCCCCGCTACACAAGCTGGTAGCGCATCTGGGGGCCACTAAGTCGAGGAGGCAAGCAGAGCAAGCTATTGATGGCAATTGGACGGTGGAATGCCGTCATAGCTTTCAAACATTGAAGGCCAAGCTTACCACTGCTCCAGTGCTTGCTCACCCTGACTTTTCCCTTCCCTTCATCCTGGAAGTGGATGCCAGTTATCGTGGCCTTGGGGCCGTGCTATCCCAGGAACAAGAGAGGAAAGTTAGACCTGTAGCCTATGCCAGCCGGGGCTTGAGGCCCACTGAGTGCAATATGGAGAACTACAGCTCCATGCGTTCAGAGTTTGTGGCACTCAAGTGGGCCATGATGGAGAAATTCCGGGAATATCTGTTGGGCCATAAGTGTGTGGTTTTCACCGATAACAACCCGCTCAGCTCATCTGTCGACTGCGAAGTTGGTTGCCACTGAACAACGTTGGGCAGCCCAGCTGGCGTCATTTGACTTCGAGGTAAAATACTGCTCAGGCAGAAATAACAACAACGCGCCCGCTTTATCCCGTCAGTACCCCCCTGGCCCAGGTGACATGGAAACTATGTTTCCTGGAACATCCCTCCCCCACCCTCCGCGGCAGGCTCTTCGCGGGACACGGGTTGAAGCGACCCAAACAGCCGTTATGGCCCTGCCCCATCACACCTCTTCAGACATCTGTGTTTTACAGCAAGCTGACCCGGTTATTCAGGAGGCTCTCGTGTTCTCGAGACGTGGACAGCGTCCCTCCCTTGAGGAACGTCAAGGAACTTCCCAGCCTGCTCTGGCATTACTCCGCCAGTGGGACAGGCTGCTCGAGAGGAGTGGGGTCTGGTATCGCCAGATGTTCCGTCCCGATGGGGCAGAAGCGGTTCTGCAGTTTTTAGTGCCTACTTCCCTAAGGGAAGAGGTGTTGACGAAAGTCCACCAGGAGCATGGCCACCAGGGCGTAGAACGGACGTTAGAGCTCCTACGCCAACGCTGCTATTGGCCAGGCATGTCCTCCGACGTGTCCAAGTGGTGCCAGGCCTGTGAGCGGTGCCAAGTCGCCAAGGACTCCCGACCTATTAGGTCCAGTTTCATGGGGCACCTGTTGGCCTCGCGGCCAAACGAAATTGTCGCTATCGACAATACGGTGCTAGAACCCACCTCGAGTGGGTTAGAAAACTTCCTGGTCATGACCGATGTGTTCAGCAAATACACCCTGGCTGTCCCTACCCGAGACCAGCGAGCCCCCACTGTGGCTCAAGCCCTTGTCGTGAAGTGGTTCTCAAAGTTTGTGGTCCCGGCCCGCATCCATTCCGATCAGGGCCACAACTTTGATAGCACGCTTATCCACCAGCTCTGTTGCCTTTTCGGCATCGAAAAATCTCGTACCACGCCATACCATCCGGCTGGTAACGGCCAGTGTGAACGATTTAATAGGACGCTTCACAATTTGTTGCGCACCCTGCCCGTATCACGGAAGAGGGATTGGAGTTCTTGCTTGCCGCAGGTCCTCTTTTCTTATAACACAACTCCTCATCAGTCGACAGGCGAATCTCCATTCTTGCTGATGTTCGGACAGGAACCCGGATTACCGGTAGAATTCCTATTGGGCAGAGTTCGGGATCCTGTGGGTGGACATGTCCACGAGTGGATCCAAGAACATCAGGCCCGTTTACAGCTGGCCTGTTGGCTTGCTGCCAAGCGTCGTAAAAACAACCACGATCAGCAGCTGAGAGCTGTGCCTCTTAGTGTAGGCCAACTGGTGTGGCTTCGGGACTTTTCGGCACGGGGCGGCATAAGCTCTGTGACCTTTTCGGCCCGGTGCAATACCAAGTCCTTAAGGTGCCCAGAGAGGGGGGGTCGGTGTATACCATCGCACCGGCGGACAAACCAGCAAAGGCCAGACAGGTAAACCGTGCCCTCCTGAAGGCTGTGGCTTGAGCCCACCCTCCAAACCACCCTGCCTCACCTTGTTCACCTTTTAGATGACTCGCCCCTGTCAGAGGACGAGCTGCCTGGGGACGACCTGTTTGTGTGGAGGTCGGAAGCTGCCCCGGTAGTTCCCACCCAAGTAGTTGCGGCCCCTCCAACCGCACCTCGCAGTCTGCCCCTACCAGCCCCTTTAGTGACCACCACTGCCAGAGCCGCAGAGAGGGCCTCTGGGTCTTCTGCTTTCCGGCCTCCATCTGTCCCTGCATTTTGTGAAGTGACCGTACGCTGTACAGCACGATCAACGGCTGGCCAGCATCCCAACCTCCATCACCTCCCAACACTATAGTGGCATTTTTCAGACCTTGGAGTTAGGTTTGGGTATTGTGAGTTCCATTTGGCTATCGTCGGGGCGACGACAAAAAATTAGTCTCCTCCCTCCTATCGCCCTCTTGGCCAGGTGACTGAAGTGTGTCAATCTTCCGTGTCACTCACCCTGCATGGTGGCTCGGCGCTGCTACAGGTAAGGTGGTGAACTCGCTGTCTCCGCACACTTTATCTCGCCACTGCCGTCAGCTGCCTTTATATCTCGTATGTGATCCCCATAGATCCCCGGCTGTCGGAGCAGGGTAGCTCCCTAACATAGAGCGACCGCCACGAAGCCTGCCGAGATCGCCCGAGCTGTCTCCTTCACGCCGACGACAGTAACCTGTTTGATTGGGACTGGGCGGTCGTACCGGAGGATCTTGGCCACCGTTAGCAGTCCAACTAGCTGCTGTTTTGCCTACACGCCTTCTACCTCGGTTTGCGTACATGTGCTTTTTTGAACTGCGTTGCCTCAATTGTTTTGGGCCGGACTGCCTACACTGTTCTGCTCGGACGGCTTTACCCGGACGAACAATTTTAGTGTGACGTTCGATCTCCCCCTTCCCCTTGACTTAATGGGTCGGCAGAGTTATCTTTTTTTCTTCATCGTATTGTTTGTATAGTTTGTTCTGTATTTTTGTTTCTTTATAACCAGATGAGTGAACCCGGTTGTATGTACTCGTGTTAAACGTTTTTTTGTTTCTTTTTAGAGCTGAACGCCGAAGGTGGTGGTGTGGTGTCCGGGTGGTGGTATCCCTTCGCTCGTTTGCTGTGGTCTTTCGTTTTCATTTGTTTTGCTGTGCTCACTATTTTGTTTTTGTGTTCACGGGTGTCTTCTCCTGAAACCTCCCCCGCTGCCCTCGTGTCCCCTCCACAACCATTGGTAAGCCTCAGCGTTCATTATTTTGTTTATTATTATTGACCATTATTACCCTCATTAATTCCCCTTTTGTTGTGGAGATTGTGAGCGTGTTTTAAATTGTTTTATGGATCCTGGTATTTTATTGTAATAAACCTCTTTTTGTACATTGAACCACGCCTTAGGCATCTTTTGTGATACTTACCTGCGTGACCTTATTAGTTAGTATTCTCTTGGTGAAATTCCCAGGGTGGCGTTGCCGGTCTCCGTTCTGCCCCAAGGTGGCACTGTAGTTAAATTGCCATAACTTGGCGCGATTATGTAATCTCGTGCTGCCACACAAGGACATAAAAAAATGTCAGGACGGGATCAACAGCTTGATCTGTGCTCTCAAAGCCACGAGGACAAGCGAGACGTTCACTGACATTTCTGAGGAAACAGTCCAGGCAGTCGGAGAACCTTCCTGGAGAATGGGGTTGATTTGGCGCAGGAGTAGAGAACCGCAAGGTTGACGGTTCGAGCCCCAGATGCTCCATGTCCCATATCGAAGTGTCCATGAGCAAGACAACCCCTAATGGCTCCCCAGGAAAGAATTTGCATTGTTCTGCGAGCCATTCCCCAGCAGTGAGTTGGCTCAGCTGATTATCAGATTGTGGTGGAGGGGCGTGGTTAGCTCAGCTGCAGGGGGGAGAGCGGGGGAGTGGTTCAGGGGACGGTGCTGGTAGATGAGGAGTAACCAGGTGTAAATAATCTGCACTGATTCTCTCCTACTTAAACAGTGAGCAGGATCCAGGTCGGGGGAAGAGAGCTGGAGCCTGCGAGCAGAGCACAAGAGCTGAGCAGAGCCGGACAAGGCGAAACCGACCACGCGCATAGTGCGAACTCATTCCTGCTCACTGTCTTCCCTTTGGTCAATAAAAGTCTGGTTACCCTCATCCTGTGTCGTGCGTCTTTACAAGAACCCACCGGTGGTAGCGCTATCACGGCTACAGTGGCGCCTGGCTAAGGATGGACGCGAACGACCTCGGAGAGGGCCTGATGCAGCCGGCGGTTGCGCTTGGACGGATGCTGGGGGAGATCGCCGCGATGCAGCGCGAGCAGGCCGAGGCCAACCGGCACTTCCTGGGGGCGCTGCAGGCTGCTACAGACCGGCAGACCCAGGTATTGGAGCAATTGGCGGCCCGACCGGTCGCTTCCCCAACGACGCCGGGTCCCTCGGCGTATGCGGGCGTGGTGGTGCACAAGATGACCCCGGAGGACGACGTACAGTCATACCTGGAGATGTTCGAGGCAATGGCGGGGGCGTGTGGCTGGCCGGCGGACGAGTGGGCGATCCGCCTCCTGCCGCTCTTAACCGGGGAGGCGCAGACAGCGGCCCTGGGCCTGCCACCCGGTCCCAGGCACGTCTACGCCAGCGTGAAGAAGGCCATCATGGATCGACTGGGGCTCTCCCCCGAGGACCATAGGAGACGATTCCGAGAGACGAGGACTGAGCCGAGAGACCGCCCGTTCCCATTTGCCCAGCGACTCACAGACGCGGCCAACAGGTGGCTGCAGCCGGAGGGCGCGGGAGGGGCGCCGGCGGTGGTGGAGAAGGTGGTGATGGAGCAGTTCCTGGAGGGTCTTCCGCCGCGGACTGCGGCCTGGGTCCGCTACCACCGGCCGGCGACGCTGGAAGCCGCCGTGACCCTCGCCGAGGACCACCTGGCGGTGCACCCCGGGGGCCGTGGGGAGGGCGGTCGGCCGACCGCATCGACGCAGCCCGTTCCCGCGCCACGACGGAGTTCCCCGCGGCCTGTTGCGACTCGGCCCCCTCCGTCCCCGCGCGCCCTAGCCCCTCAACGGGGTACTGATCCACCCGGCCTGGCCGGCACCCTCCCTGACCTACAGAGGGCTCCTCAACCGCCAGGGCAGGAGTGTTGGAGGTGCGGGCAGCCCGGACACTACCGGCGGGAGTGCCCGCTAATGGAGGTGGGCCAAACGGTGCGGGTTGCCGGGCCTCCAGCACCCTCCCCCGGTCTGGGAGCGACGTACAGCGTTCCGGTAAGGATCCAGGGGGGTATACATCAGGCGATGGTGGACTCTGGCTGCACGCAGTCTATGATCCACCAGAGACTGGTTCGACCCGGGGCATTGGTGGAGGCATCCCGGGTGAGTATAAAGTGTGTGCATGGGGATATTCACGACTACCCAGTGGTGCCGATAGAGATTAGGTTTGGGGGTAAAAAGCATAAAGTAAGGGTCGCGGTTAGCTCCCGCCTGACGCACCCTCTGATTTTGGGGACAGACTGGTCGGGGTTTCATAGGTTAGCGGGGCAGTGCGCGGGGGTGCGTTCGCGACCGGTAGGGACATGCGGGGTGTGTGCGGCGCTCGGCGGTGACGCGAGGTTGTCCGACGCTGCAGACGGGGAGGGGGAATCGGCGGGGCCTCCTATGGGGACGCCGCCGACGCCAGAGCTACGCTCCATGGAAGATTTTCCACTGGAGCAGTCTCGTGATGACACTCTACGCTTTGCCTTCGACCAAGTGATGCAAATTGATGGTCAAGTGGTGCGCCCCGACGCCGTATTATCATACCCGCACTTTTCGCTGATTAGGGACAGGCTATACAGAGTGAGTCGCGACACTCAGACAGGGCAGGAAATTACGCAGTTGTTGGTACCAAAAAGCCGCCGGGAAACAGTTTTCCAGGCGGCTCACTATAACCCGATGGCGGGCCACCTGGGTAGCGACAAAACTCTGGATCGGATAGTAGCCCGATTTTACTGGCCAGGCATCTGGGCGGATGTGCGCCGCTGGTGTGCATCCTGCCCACAGTGCCAGCTGGTGAACCAGCCGGCCATCCCGAAAGCGCCGTTGCGTCCGCTGCCGTTAATGGAGCTGCCGTTCGAACGCTTAGGTATGGACCTCATCGGGCCATTTCACCGGAGTGCACGGGGGTATCGCTTTGTGTTGGTGCTGGTGGATTACGCAACTCGATATCCCGAGGCAGTGCCGTTGCGCAGCATCTCCGCCAAGAGTGTTGCGCAGGCGCTGTTTCAGGTCATCTCCCGAGTCGGAATCCCGAAAGAGATTCTGACTGACCAGGGCACCTCGTTCATGTCACGCACACTACGAGAACTGTACGAATTGTTGGGGGTTAAGTCCGTTCGGACCAGTGTATACCATCCCCAGACTGACGGCCTGGTGGAACGGCTGAACAAGACACTGAAATCCATGATTCGTAAGTTTATTCACGACGATGAACGTAATTGGGATAAATGGCTTGACCCTCTGTTGTTTGCAGTACGGGAGGTCCCCCAGGCCTCCACGGGATTTTCTCCCTTCGAGCTGCTGTTCGGCAGAAGACCACGGGGGGTGCTCGACCTGCTTAAGGAACACTGGGAAGAGGGTCCGAGCCCCGGTAAGAACGAGATTCAGTACGTCCTGGACCTGCGAGCCAAACTCCACACACTGGGTGAGTTGTCACGTGAGAATTTGCTCCAGGCCCAGGAACGTCAACAGCGGCTGTACAACAGAGGGGCCAGGCTGAGACAATTCACACCGGGAGAGAAAGTGCTTGTATTACTTCCTTCTTCCAGCTCAAAACTACTCGCCAAGTGGCAAGGGCCCTTTGTGGTCACACGGCGGGTAGGGGACGTCGACTACGAGGTGGTGCGATCTGACAGAGGGGGAGCCACGCAGGTCTACCACCTCAACCTCCTTAAAGCATGGAGAGAGACGGAGTCCGTGTCCCTGGTGTCTGCAGTAGCAGAGAGCGAGGAGCTGGGCCCAGAAGTCCCAAAGTCCACCGATCCCACCCGGCTCCCGTCCGACGCCCGTCTCTCTGCAGCCCAGCAAGCGGACATAGCCCGGTTGCAAGATCAATTTAATGATGTGTTCTCCTCCCGGCCAGGTCGCACGGACCTCATAGTGCATCACATTGAGACGTCCCCGGGCGTGACGGTGCGGACGCGGCCCTACAGGCTTCCTGAACACAAGAAGAAAATGGTTCAGCGAGAATTGGCCGCTATGCTGGAGATGGGGGTAATAGAAGAGTCCAACAGCGCCTGGTGCAGCCCCATCGTTCTTGTCACCAAGAAGGATGGCTCAATAAGGTTCTGTGTGGATTATCGCAAGGTGAATGCGGTCTCACGGTTCGACGCTTACCCGATGCCCCGGGTCGACGAACTCCTGGACCGATTGGGCACCGCACAGTTTTTTACGACACTGGATTTGACCAAGGGCTACTGGCAGATTCCCTTGTCACCAGAGTCCAGGCAAAAGTCGGCGTTCTCCACTCCGTTTGGGTTGTACCAATTCACCGCGCTTCCCTTCGGGCTGTTCGGCGCCCCGGCCACCTTCCAGCGCCTCATGGACCGGGTGCTGCGTCCGCACGCTGCGTATGCGGCCGCCTACCTGGATGACGTCATCATCCACAGCACCACGTGGGCGGAGCATGTGCGGCGGGTGGGCGCGGTGCTGGAGTCCCTGAGGCAGGCCGGGCTCACCGCCAACCCGGGGAAGTGTGCAGTTGGACGGAGGGAGGTACGGTATCTGGGGTACCACTTGGGCGGCGGGCGGGTGCGCCCGCAGGTGGACAAGACCGCAGCCTGCCCGCGGCCCAAGACGAAAAAAGAGGTGAGGCGGTTTTTGGGGCTGGCAGGTTACTACAGGAGGTTCATCCCGGGCTTTGCGGAGCTGACCAGCCCCTTAACTGACCTGACCCGGAAAGGTGCCTCAGATCCGGTCCAGTGGACGGAGCGGTGCCAGTGGGCGGTTGAGGGGGTGAAACGAGCCCTCTGTGGGGAACCATTGCTCCATACACCTGACTTCTCTCTCCCTTTTGTCTTGCAGACTGATGCGTCGAACAGAGGGCTGGGGGCCGTTTTGTCCCAGCAGGTGCAGGGGGTGGACCGCCCGGTCCTCTACATCAGCCGGAAGCTGTCGGAAAGAGAGGCCAGGTACAGTACGGTGGAAAAAGAGTGCCTGGCCATCCGGTGGGCGGTCGACTCCCTGCGGTACTACCTCCTGGGACGCCAGTTCACTCTCTGTTCGGACCACGCCCCGCTGCAGTGGCTCCACCGCATGAAGGATGCCAACGCCCGGATCACTCGGTGGTATCTGGCTCTACAGCCTTTTAACTTCAAGGTGATCCATAGGCCGGGGGCGCAGATGGTCGTGGCGGACTTCCTTTCCCGCCCTCAGGAGGGAGGGGGGGGGGAGTCGGTTCGGCCGGATGGCTCCCCGGCCTAAGTCGGGCGGTGGGGGTATGTGGTGGAGGGGCGTGGTTAGCTCAGCTGCAGGGGGGAGAGCGGGGGAGTGGTTCAGGGGACGGTGCTGGTAGATGAGGAGTAACCAGGTGTAAATAATCTGCACTGATTCTCTCCTACTTAAACAGTGAGCAGGATCCAGGTCGGGGGAAGAGAGCTGGAGCCTGCGAGCAGAGCACAAGAGCTGAGCAGAGCCGGACAAGGCGAAACCGACCACGCGCATAGTGCGAACTCATTCCTGCTCACTGTCTTCCCTTTGGTCAATAAAAGTCTGGTTACCCTCATCCTGTGTCGTGCGTCTTTACAAGAACCCACCGGTGGTAGCGCTATCACGGCTACACAGATAAATGAGCTGCATACGATGTACAACAATCATTGGGGATGACCTACAGGGCACAGTCTCCGAGGCCTTCAAACTGCTGCAGCTTATGCTCACGATACCGGCTACTAGCACATCAGCAGAGTGCTCATCTTCCTGTCTAAAGAGGATCAAAACTGATCTGAGGAACACATGTGGACAGGGAAGACTTGTGAACTTGGCCAAGATATCCATTGACCCCGTTGTAGAGGACCTAAAGTTCTACGACATGGTCATTGATCACTTTGCCACCATGAGAGAAAGGAGAACGGCCTTGCTCTTCAAATAGGGTGAGCAAAACGCATTTGTTTCCCTGTGAGCAGCTTAATAGTTACTGAACTGCCCAATTAGCGATGTGAGTATAGTCCTTATTGAGTCTTGCTTGCGTTGATTTGATTGAGCCACGCCGCCTGCCAAGGGCTCCTTTTAGAATAACTTATTTTCCCCGTTTAAGATGGTTCAGCTACTGTAGAGAAAAGCAGTAGGGCCGGGATCCTCCTTGTGGCTAGGGCCGGCTTCCTCCCACAGTCCAAAGACATGCTCTGGGGATCAGGTTAATTGGGGACTTTAAATTGCCCGTAGATGTGTGAATGGTTGTATGTCTCTGTGTAGTCCTGCGATTGGCTGGCGACCAATCCAGGATGTACCCTGTCTATCGGCCAAAGTTGGCTGGGATGGACTCCAGCCCCCCCGCGACCCTGTGTGCAGGATAAGCGGTTTGACAATGGATGGATGGATGGACCTCTCGCGGCCCACCTGCAGTATCTTCGCGGCCCAGACTTTGGGAGTCAAGCAGAATGTTTGTGTTACACTCTACATTGTCCAATCCTGCTTACTTCCCCCATAGCTGAGCCAAAATAAACTCCTTTTGTGGATCCTCTTGTGGACCAGAAAAAGCAATTGAGCTTTTATTTGTAAATGCAAATATCGTAATGTGAAACTTATGACGTATTCACAACTTTTAATCAGAATATAGTCAACAAGTCTATAGCAAATCAACTAATTATCTATATCAACTATATCTAGTATATCTAGTATAAGCATCAACTATTTCCTATTTCTTTGTTCTCTATAGTGGTTATTGGCATGATACATCATTTGAAATGTTTGTGTTTTACTTTTTATTCAAAGAAAACCTTACAGTACAGATGTTTTGTCTACAATAGATCTACATCAACTAGAAAGCATCGATACCGTGTTGCATATTTTTCTACAGAATATAATAGCCAATAGCAATCAGCACTAAAGTTCTTTCTCACACTAAGATTTTTATACTGTAATGTAATTAATTCATGGTTCACATTTCAGATATACTGAAACTCCCACAATAAAATGAATGCCCTTTTCGGGACGATATAATGACTTACTTATACTGTACATTACTTACATAAAATCATATAATTCTGAATACCTTAATTTCTATTAAAATAGTTTAATATGATAGTAAAAGATGATATTGTTGTTTATGGATTCAACATATTCATCCTGTATTAAATGCATTTCGTCACATTATTCGAAAGCACAATCTATTCCATTTTTATGTTTTTCTTGTGATTTATGATGCTTGCCTTGGTTTTAAGGCTGTACATGTGCTTGCGCTTTTTACATATAATCAGTTCTTAATAAAGATAAAAGTGGCAGGGTAACAAGGAAAAGTATCAGAGGGATAGTGTTGTAAAATACAGCTGTACCAGGTTATTGATCTGCCCGGGGAAACAAATTGACTTTTTGCTTTGGCCCAATAAGTTGAGGTGAAAGGGGAAATCCTGATTATTTTGCACCATGAATGAAATTCTTCATATTGTTGTTCAGGCTAAAAGTTTAAATTTACACGCACGCAGCATGTATGTTGGTCCGATAGGAACCAGGCTTCAGTATCTGAAGTGTAACAATTAACCTAATTGATTTTCTGAACCAGGGGTAGAGAATGGCATAGATCAGAGGGTTGAGACAGGAGTTACAATTAAACAACCATATTACAAAGGTTACAGATGAAGCTGTGTACACGTTAATTTGGGATGTTAGAACAAAACAATAATATGGACAAACACATATCATAAAAACAACTACAACAACACCAAGATTCCTGGCTGCTTTCATTTCAGACTTCTTAACGGTTACTTTCGTTGTCACAACTGCAATGTGAGACCGCATGGCACGAGCCTGATACACAGCCACCCCAAATATTCTAATATATAGAATGACAATAACAGTAATGGGAGCAACGAATGTAACAATTAGATCAAAAACATTAGTGATGTAGTTCATGTCAAAAACACACTCTCCTATGCAGGAGTTATACCTGCCTGGATGTTGCAGGTTATTCTTCAGCAGCAGACCGGTATATGAAGCAGCAAACATCCAACACAGACTTGAACTCTTTTTGGTTTGACTTTGGTGAAGTAATGCAGAGGATAACAAATAGCCACATATCGATCCACTGATATGAGCACCATGGTTCCTACTGAGGACGAGGTAATAATGGCTAATAGGACCAACCAAAGAGAACACATGAGGTCACCAAACAACCAGCAGCCGTCGATTATGATTATTTGAAAGATCATGAAGAGACCAACGAAGAAATCTGAGACGGCCAGAGAGAGGAGGAGGAGGTTGGTGGGGGTGTGGAGCTGCCTGGAGGGAAACAAATAATGATATTCGAATCAATAATTATGGGATTATGGGATCTATCAGATATAAATAAACAATACAATAAAAAGGAATTACCAAAATCTACAAATTTGTAACACAGGTTTTTATCTACCACTTTCACAAATAAATGAAATATGTCACTACTTGAAGTGGGAGATGGAGATGATGACCAGCAGGTTGAGAGCTACAGTGAGCAGAGAGATGGAGGACAACACAATATAAATCAACATTGCTTCTAAGTGAGGACGAATTTGCTTTCTGCAGGAGGTGTTGATGAATTGTGGAAAGCAAAGCTCAGTTCCCACCAAGGTTTCCATCACCGGAGAAGAGAAGCTAGAGAACAGCTTCAGCTGACTGGCCAAAGCTTCTTGTCTTACAACTGATTTGTCTCTTTTCTTTGGTTCCACCCCTCCTACGTCATCACCTCTGATGTTGTTTGTGTCTCCATGGAGATTAAAGAACAATAGTTTCCGTGCTCATCTTCCTTCCCGCTGGAGATGACTATCATCAGTTTAGATGTTGACCTTTGACCTTCCCCGCTAAATGTTCTGTTCTCACATTTGACTGTTCTGAAGTCATATACTGTATGTTGCCTGCTGTTGGGAATGACGTAGGGGCAATGTTTGGTTAATAACTATTGTGAAATTAAATCATTAAAATCAATAGTACTAATAATGAGAAAAATAAATAACGGGGCACCACCCTAAAAAGGGACTAATAACCAAACTATGAATCAAGTCTCATAATTGATATTCAGTCATTAAGAAAAAGGAATTTAAAGTTTTAAGTTCGTACACTGGCTATGTTTCCAACCAGCATTACAGTACACATATGCAAAGCAATTACAGAAAACTTCTCCTTAAAGTAGAACACGGTTTACTAACTTCCAATTGTATTGGTTAGTAAATTAGAAAGAAAGACTCCTAGCAAATCAGATCTTTTGCGGAACAGTGAGACAAAAATAACGACACATGCTAATCTAACTTCTGCCTAGACATAGGCTTACTGTGCCTTGATAGGGTTTGCTATGTTTCCTCTAGTCTTGTGTAACCCTCATGAAATTGGAGTTACTAATATCAGGAGTAGTAAAAGTTATGACTTAAAGAGGGCGCAAAAGCCGTGCTCTTGTAAAACACAAGTTGTATCCAAGGGGGCGTTATTTGCGCTAGTCGCAAAGGAAAGGGCGTGTGGCTTATCACCCTGAAAACAGCTCAACTTCTGAAACCAGGGCCGTGGTCAGCACAGCCGAGTACAGGTTACATTCTAATCCCTGGACCTGGCAGTGCTTTTTGACTGGACTTTCAGACATCCAGACTACCTGAGATCGGACTGAGTATCTTCTTCCTTAAACCAAGCTGGTCTGATAATCTGCTGTTTAACATTAATTTGACTGCTAGTTTGCTTTAGTTCCTGCGGTTTTGAAGTGACTGAACTGGTAGTTAGCTTTAGTTACCGGTAACGGATCTGCAGGAGAAAATATATCTAGAAGATTTCAATGGTTCAATTAAACTAGGGGTTGGACACTGAATTACAAATACAGTACATGCCACTATTCATTTTAAAACAAATTTATTCAACCGATTATTTAGAGCCCTCCGGGAAGAATTAAAACACTTTTCTCCATCTTGACTGTTGGTTTCTATCATGATGAGGTGTTGACTTCACCATTGAAACAGGTGGAGAAAGCAACACATTGTGCTGTTGAGCTGATGGGGTGGTGTTTTCCAAATCAGTATTATATGGTTTTCTTTAATATTCTCCAGATCCCAGGTCCCTCCATTTAATTCTATTATATGAGGACAAACATTACACTTTTAATCCAGAATCCCAACTAGGCAGTGTATTAATTAGTCAAATCAAAACATACCGCAAAAGGTCAATGAATCTTTACCAGAAGTGACAGTGCAGATAAAGAACAATCTTCCAAATTTCCAGTAATCAGCCCAATCCTTGGTGCATCTGGGGAAACAAATGAGAAAAGATTAATTGAAAATTAGAAAGTAGGCTTTTATTTTTTACCTTGCCTTTAAACACTTTTATCAGATGTATCATAGCAAGGTTAATACACTTAACTTAAAACAAAAAAAGCCAATTGACACATCAAAATCAATCCAACCACCTACCCTCAACCCTTCTGAAGAAAACAACTACAGAACGGTCTCTCTTCTTCCCTTTTTGTCCAAAACTCTAAAAGAAGAAGAAGAATGTGCGATCTTTAACCAACTCTCCTATCTCCACCGTAACAACCTCCTTGACCCCCCACCAGTCAGGCTTCAAGGCAGGTGTTACATGTCCCCATGTTTTGTTCTGCCCCTTTAACTGTGTGAGTGGGGGGAGAGTGCCCCTTTCTCCATTCACAGGTGTGCGGGGCTGTTGGCGAGGAGGCGTGGCCACTGAAGACTAATCAGCTAACGAGCTGGTGGCCTATATAAACCAGCCTGGTTGCTGAAGGAAAAGGAGAGAGAAGCCTTGTGGGTTTGTATGCCCTGTCAAAGACTGGTTTTTGGTTGAATCCTGTCGGGTGAGATCCCTTTGTGCTCTACCTGCGTTCTGGAGAAGGGGTAGGTGTATCTGCCCATGGGTGTACATTTTCATCACGTAGGAAAATCTTTGTTAGACACACTATGTTAGCTGGGTGGGTGTCACCCCTGTAGTTTTGGCCATAGAGAGGTAAGCTGGTTAGGGATAGACCGTGTTAGGCAGGGTGAGGCGTGTAGAAGAATTGGGACCTTTTGTTTTTCAGCACTTTGACCCCAGTCCCTACACCCCCCTTCTCCTCCCTTCCTTGGTTGTGTGTACGTTGTTTTTTGGTGTTGCCTATTTGTTTTACTAAATGTCCCACAAGGACCAAACGTGAGTTGTGTAATGGTAAAATATGTTAACATTGTTTTGTGCTAAAGCCGTGTCTCAAGTGTCCTGTATTTGACCCTGATGTGCAAAGAGCAGTATGATACAAAATAATAGTTTGCAGCTGTGCGCTGAGAAGGGAGGACGGTTGACTCGATCTCATAGAAGTTTCAAAGCAAAGGACTCCTCTTTATGGCCTTGGTTGATATCTTATTCTGCACGAAAGTTCTGGATCCAAGTTTTACTTTCATGTCAAGTAACAATGATTTGCAGCGTGCGTGCGTGCGTGCGTGTGTGTGTGTGTCCCTCAGCTTCACCTGGGTTCTTATCTCAACCTGCTTTGCAGCTTCTCGTAGCTGGCACGGAGAATGTCCTTCATATGTGTATAAAAACTCAGTGTCTTTTGTGCTCGGAGATGCCATTTCCACAGAGCACTGTGATACGTGCCTGTGTATTTGACCTCCTGCTTGCAAGCAATAAATGTCCCTGGATAGGCCTCTTGAGGTTGAGTATAAGGCCCCGGCCACCTTGCCTCTGTTTGATCCCTTCTCTCCCTGCTGCATTTGACAGTCAACCACCAGATCCTCATTTCCTCCCTTCAGGAACTTGGTGTCTCAGGCTCTGCTGTCTTCCTTCTCTCGTCCTACCTCGACGCCCGACACCTATCGGGTAACCTGGCGAGGATCTGTGTCGGGAACCTTACAACTGGAGTTCCTCAGGGTTCCGTCCTGGGTCCCCTTCTTGCTCTACACCAACTCTCTCGGCGCTGTCGTTCGCTCACATGGCTTCTCCTACCACAGCTATGCCGATGACAACCAACTAATTCTCTCATTCCCTCCCTCGGACACCCAGTTGGCGGCGCGGATCTCTGACTGACATATCTCAGTGGATGTACGCTGAAAATCAACCCTGAGCAAGACTGAACTACTTTTTCCGGGAAAAAGTAGTTCAGTCTTGCTCAGGTACTGATTCAGGCTCTTGTCATTACATTATTACATTAATACATTACAGGTCATTTAGCAGACTCTTTTTATCCAAAGCGACTTACAATAAGTGCATTCAACCATAGGGGTACAAACTCTGAAGAACAAGAAACAAGAAAGTGCAATTTCCTCAAATAAGCCAATTTACATTCTTGTTTCTTGTTCTTCAGAGTTTGTACCCCTATGGTTGAATGCACTTATTGTAAGTCGCTTTGGATAAAAGCGTCAGCTAAATGACATGTAAAAGAACGGATATGAAAGCACCTCCCACTGTAGAGGCTAACCAGGCAGAGTAAGAATGAGTTTAGATGCTAAGCAGTTTTAAACTTATCTATTAGAATTTTTTTTTTCTCGCACATGTCAAGTTAGAGTTCCTAGAGTAACTTGAGTAGTCTTAGTTTTCTAACTTGGTTCACTGTTTAATTTAAGCAGCAGGACACAATTTAAAGACAAATGTTTTTTTTTTTTTTTTTGTCTTATTCCTCTCAGCATGCATAAAGACTCATAAGCAGGTTTCTCTCCCATGAGCCAGGCTGCAGTATCTTCAGAGTAACAATGAGCTTCATAGATCTTCTAAACCAGGGGTAAAAAAAAGCATAAATCAGAGGGTTAAGACACGAGTTTAAATAAAACACACATAATACCATTGTAGTAGACGAGGCATCGAGCAAGGTTTTTAGATTCAACTTTATTGTCACTGCACAGGGTACAAGTACTGAGACAACGGAATGCAGTTTAACATCCAACCAGAAGTGCAAAAATAGCAAGTGCAGATTATGTGCATATGTAAAGTGTAATAAGTGAATAAATAGAATAAACGAACTTCGTTGCTCCCGAGGAGAATCTCTGCTCGCGCTCGAAGGAGTTTTCTACGCGCTTGTAGACAAGCTTTGTCATGTTTGGCAGAGCGCCTTGAGCGCCGCGTGCAACCAGTATGGATTAACCAATTGATCCATATATATATATATATAAGGCGCTCCGGATTATAGGGCACTTTTGTTTTTTGAGAAAATTAAAGCCTTTTAAGTGCGCCTTGGAGTGCGGAAAATGCGGTATATTTACTTTAATACTGCAAGAGGGCGCCCCGTTTGTTGAACAACGACAGGCGGACAAGAGCAGCCGTTTCCGTTGCCGTCATGCTCTTGACTTCTTCCACATCCCTCCTTTTTTAATATTGTGACAACTTCAGTGGGATTAACTGAATTTACTTACCCCTTACTGTTAATCTATGTTCGTAGGTCTTTCACCTGTGTATCTCCTCCCCCACAGTTAATTTTCATCATGCAAAGTCAACAAATACAAAATTGTTATTTTTGTTACAGGACCCAAGTGTGAACGGGTCACACAGCGCTGTGCTAAGCTAACACAAGTGTGATTGTTACATTGGGTTCATCTTGAGCAGCTTCAAAAACGGTCAAAAGTCTGGTGACTCACACGGGCGATTGAGTGTGGATTAGTTTCAGAGGCTAAAGAAGACAAAGCGTCTTTACATTCGTGATTTCGGGCTCTACAAAATGAAATGAATTTAATTGAAAGTGAATATTGCCTTCATGGATGAGGTTTTCTAGCAATAGCATATTTTGATAAGGAAGAGTAACGGGTCAATAATGGAATGGGGAACATATAATTCTTTTATTTCAAGAACTTATACTTTAAAAGTGTCACACCCCGGTGAGATCAAGTTGGGGTTTTCTCGTCTTCGTGTCTTGTCATTTCCTGTTTTATTTTGAAAGATTAACCCCTCTCCCGTTTCAGGTCACTTGCCCCTCATGTGTGACCAGTCAAATCGTCTCCCCTGATTGTGTCCACCTGTTTCCCATTACCCTCATGTGTCTTATAGTCTGTGTTTCCCTTTCCCTGGTGCAGGAGTGTACCGACCATTCTGCAACCGGAGCCTGTCGCCTTTAACTCGGTGTCCCTCTGCCCGCCTGGTTCGGTCTTGTTTCAATCTACCAGTTTCACAAATAATTGAAATATTTCCAGCAGGTTGAGAGCTACAGTGAGCAGAGAGATGGAGGACAACAAAATATAAATCAACATTGCTTCTAAATGGGGACGAATTGTCTTTCTGCAGGAGGTGTTGATGAGTTGTGGAAAGCAAAGCTCAGTTCCCACCAAGATTTCCATCACCGGAGAGGAGAAGCTGCAGAACAGCTTCAGCTGACTGGCCAAAGCTTCTTGTCTTACAACTGATTTGTCTCTTTACTTTGGGTCCACCCCTCCTACTGCATCACCTCTGCTGTTGTTTCGTAGATTGAAGAACAATAGTTTCCGTGCTCATCTTCCGCTGGAGAGGACTGTAATGTGTTTTGATGTTGACCTTTGACCCAGTACTTTCTGATCATGTGCAATGTTCTTCATGGAATGTACTATTATAAGTTCCATGCATCTCCTCACACACACATTATATGCTTATTTACTATCAGCATGAAGACGATACTAATTTAAAGCATACCAATATCTAGATTAGATAGTAGAAGTGTATTTGAAGGGATTATTTATAACTTTTAGTTTCTTTGTAATTGTTTTTCTTCTTCATATTGTGAACCTTTTCACTATCTTGACAGGCTCATTTTGAATAACAGGCCTTTATAAAATGTTTTTATTGTACTTTATTGTCTTCGTTCATGCAACAACCACCAAAGCGAATTACTTGAATCTGAAAACCTTCTTGGCCATTGAAAATATTCTCATAGTAATTTTTCTCTACAGGCTTAAGGCCAATTCATGTGGAGAATACAATGAGTCTGCCACCTCACTGCCAACACTCCCAGTTATTAGTGCTGCGTATTACAATTGTCACCGGATACAAAATGATTACAAAAATTGGCCATTGTTTCTGTTTTAGTGTGAGAGGACACTGAGTACAGGCGGAGGTCTCGCTGTTGCAGTGTCACGACGGGGTGCGGAAGAGGCACTCAAACGCAGACTTCAGGCACAAAAATACTTGAATTACCAATTGAAAATCAAACTGCCTAGGGGGCAGGGACAGGGACTCACAAACGTAACGACATTCAATGGAACGACAAGAGACACACATGGTTTAAATACACTGAGAAGGTGCAGGTGATTGGACACAGGAGGAAACAATCAGGGACACAGCAGACAATCACAGGGGATGACAGGACAGGAAGTGAAGTTAACCAAGAGGACACAAGAGGCAGGAAACTAAGATATAAAACAGAACACAAACCCACAACGTGACATGCAGAGTGGGAGCGGAGAGTGTCCGGTTGGAGATCTATTGTCATTTGATTCATTCCATCATGTTCTAATGTTATAACACACACATTGTATCACGGCCCATTTGACCTCATACATTAGCACTGGATTGTTTTTACGTGTTACGGATTTTTACGTTTGTCATTGTCTGCTATTATCAGATTCTACTATTACTTTATTTATATCATTGTCTATTGTCTAACTTGTCATTACATTTACCCTGTATATGCTGCCTGTAGGGAAGGTTGTCTCAAAACTTTGCTTTTTCTTAATTTGTTTTATCATTTGCTAACAAAATGATAAACGATTTACTTACAGATGTTTAACTACACAAGGAACACACATGGTGAACAAACGTGGCCTTCGAGCAACACTGCTAGCTCGTAGCCACACGTAGCCTGCCATGTGGTTGTTAGCATAGCTGCAGCTAGCCGCTTCCTCCCTTACATCTCCCATCTCACAGACACACAAACTCACCCACACACAAACTCACCCACACACGCACACACACTCCTCCCCCTCCACATGCGTGAATGAATGCCTTTTACTGTTGTTTAGATATTAGGACATAGTATTATATTTTTGGTTGATTTGAAATGGTATTGATCTGATTATTACGGTTGGTTATTAAGTTAATAAACTGTCTATTGTTGGGATTTCTCTGTGCATGTGTACTGTTATTAAAACATATTACAGTAATCAAACTTGAACCATATATATGCACTTTGCTGTCAACTTTCCATCATTTGACGGCTGTTTAAAGTGCCAACAATCTCCTCACATTTAGCAGGACGCTTTCAAACAGCCGTCATGTGCCGCGCAGAGTAACGTTAGATGTTGAGATGGAAGTAGCAGCTAGCTTAGCATAGTGGTGCTTTAACTGGTCCGTTTGAATTGTGGAGTAATTCTGCACAGTTCTCTGCTGTATGTCGCGCCTGTTTGTTTTACTTCCAATGCAAAAAGCTCTCCTCGTCTTGAGATACCGTCTTGCTCTTGTGTCTGACTGCAGCCAGCGGCCGTTTTGTTTACGTTATATAAATGTGTATCTAGATATGCAAAATGTTAATGTAAAGCCCTGATATGTATGAATGAATATTCAGGACAGGATAGGTTGGGGTTGAGGCAGACCGCAGACAAGATATAAAGTATTTCCCTTGTGGTTTTCCATAACTGCAAAGCCGAAGTTTGGCTGTGTCATTTCTAAACTTTTAAACTTTAATGTTTAACAAGTGATCTTTCTTCTCCACAGTATCTCTGTGCATTCAAATATCACGGTGAATATTTAATTCCTCTCAGTTTTGGGGATCCGGAAAAGAATACGGAAGAATTATGGCTCATTTAATTCGTCGTGGTTGTCCTCTATGGAAATGTATAATGGGTTATTTTCAGAGTCACAGATTGGAGTGATTTTGCAAACTTGAGGGAAAGAAATAGAAAGGATATTAATCCACCTCAATCAAGTCAATAGTGTTTTCTCACCATTATTGTTTAGTACATGTTGGTTTCACACGTCAGGCAACAGATTTCCTTGAATAACTTGATGGATAGAATTTGTTTAAAATTGGTTCAGTATTATTGGAGCAGCAGGACACAATGTAAAGACACAAATATAATATATGTTCAAATTTGCTGGACCAAGGTTATCTGTTAATACATTATCAACATGACCAAGTACATTTTATTGTCTTATTCCTCTCAGCATGCAGTGTCTCTACAGCAAACGTGATCTCCAAAACCTGTTCGTAAAAATGTATACGAAAATCTTGAACATACGTTCGTAACAATACATACGACCTGGCGGTGGTTAACCACGCCCCTTGAGTGAACAACATGGCGGACCATGTTGGATTCTTGAGTGAACGTCTCTCCGCCATGTTGGATTTTTTGAGGGGGTTAGGGTTAGTATTCTATTCTTACTATTTTACATTGATTTCTCGTTAAAAATGCAATCATAACACGTTTATTTTACATCGTTAGACTTCACAAAGTGTTTAAGGGATTCAGGTCCCCAATAACTTTGAATAGGGTGACGTCATCAGTTGCAGTCCGTATTCATTTAGTATGTATAACTACGAATTTGTACGTTCAAGATTTTTGTATACATTTTTACGAACAGGTTTTGGAGATCAGGCTGCTACAGCAGGTTTCTCTCACATGAGCCAGGCTGCAGTATCTCAAGAGTAACAATGAGCTTCATAGATTTTCTAAACCAGGGGTAAAAAAAGGCATAGATCAGAGGGTTAAGACACGAGTTGAAATAAAACACACACATTACGAAAGCAGCAGATGAGACATTAAACAAGGTGTCCTGGGCTGAGAGTAAAACACAATAATATGGACAGACGCACAAAAGAAAGACAACAATAATGACACCGAGAGTCCTGGCAGCTTTCATTTCAGATTTTTTAGCAGTTATGTTCACTGAAAACTTGTGAGGTAAAACTGCAACATGAGACCTCATGACACGAGCCTGAGTCACAGCCACCACAAAGACTCTCATGTACAGAACTATGATGACAGTGACGGGACCAATAAAGGTGAAAAAGAGATCTGCAAGTCCAGCAATGTAGTTAATCACAACGACACACTCCCCAAAGCAGGAATTATACCTGCCTGGTTCTTCAAGGTTATCTTTCAGCAGCAGAGTCTGAAGGAAAGCAGAACATGTCCAACACAGACAAACACAGATCTGAACTCTTTTTTGTGTGACTTTGTTGGAATAATGTAGAGGCTCACAAATAGCCACATATCGGTCAACTGATATGAGCACCATGGTTCCTACTGAGGCAGAAGTAACTATATAGTCCAGAACAATATAAAGGATACACATGAGGTCACCTAGAAACCAGCAGCCTTCTATCAGCACAATTTGAAAGAACACGATGAAGCCCACAAAGAAGTCTGAGACGGCCAGAGAGAGGAGGAGGAGGTTGGCGGGGGTGTGGAGCTGCCTTAGAAGATGAATAATGATTATTAATAGCAGCAATTGTTTAAACATTGTCTAAAACCCACAAACATTTACATTCAAGTCTGAGTTCTGATTATTAGTTCAACAATTTCTTCTAAGCTACCAGTTTTGTAAATTGATGAATCTGAATACCTGAAGTGGGAGATGGAGATGATGACCAGCAGGTTGAGAGTCACAGTGAGCAGAGAGATGGAGGATAATAAAATGTAAGTGAGCATAGATACAAAGTGAGGATGCATGGCCTTCCTGCAAGAGGAGTTGAGGAGATGAGGAAAGCAAAGTTCATCTTCTTCAAGACTTTTCATTGTCAGAGAAAGGAGACACGATGCTCCTGTGCTCTTCATGCAACTGATGAAGCTCTTGTCTTCCTCCACATCCTCCTTCTCTTTTACTCTGGAGACAATGGACAAAACTTCTGACTTACCGTTTCATCCATCTTCAGCCTTTTCCTTGTACCTCCCCTCTTTTTCTTCACATCTTGAGAAACAATTTCCTCCTTCAATGTGTGAAATATAGTACATTTCCATAATATTGGAACTGAACATTGTACATTCAAGATGTGTCCTATAGCATGAATAGATAAAGAAGAATAAAGGTGTTGATGTCTCTGAACTGACTGATTTATTGCAACATTTAACCTTACTACGATGTACTTCACATTTAAGGGGAATTATCTAGCTTCTCCAGGTAGACTTCCACCGAATCCAAATCTCCCCGTAGAGTCCCACCGCCAAAGACTTTATCATCACAAATCCTTTATTAATTATCAATCATTATCTTTCTTTACCTGACTTGTCTCTCCTGATTGAAACCTACCTGGTACCACTCAACGTTCTTCAGTGGCTCTGGTTCACTTCCTCCTCAGAGAGGCAAAATGATGGCAATCAGTAGTCCACAATGAAAAGCTTCCCTCCACCACTCTTTGAGGATGGAAACAACAGAAGGTGCTGAACTGTGCTTTCCACTTCTCCTCAACAGATCCTGCAGGAAGCCTCAGTCCGATGGCATGCTGGTCATCGTTCTGCTGTATTTCATCTCTCTGCTCACCACCACAGCCTTCAACCTGCTGGTCATCATCTCCCACTTCAGGCAGATAAACCCTCACCATGAATTATTACATGTTCTGTCAATTTATATCAATTACATGTCTGTCTTTTTGAACGTAAATATTCTAGTTAATAAAATATTGTTTTTAATGTAGCTTATGCGCACGTTCAGTCAGGAAGACAATCTGTCTGACTCTGGTTGCCTCCCAGGTAATTACTCAATCAGCTGATTGAGGGCCGTGCAAATTTTAGTAACTAATCAGATTCTTTACACGGTTCCGGAAGCCAATCACATAGTTGCTGTCAAACTTTTAAAAGTGTCCTCCTCTCTGTTGGCTGTCAGCTGTCATTTCAGTGTGCGACCCTCCTCCGCCCCAGTCACCTCCAGTCAGCATCGGCGTTGTTCCTGGTTCATCAGCAGGTTGCTGCTATTCCTTTGACCACCACCACCACCAGTGTCTGGACTCCAGGGGGATTAGGCCTAGTGGACCTCAGTATCCCTGCCTTCGGTGATAGTACTTCACGATGCCGGTGATGGTACTTCATAATGGAGTCCAATCGGCAAAGACGTTGCACAATTCATATTTGATGTACCCTATGGTTGAATGCACTTATTGTACGTCGCTTTGGATAAAAGCGTCAGCTAAATGACATATAATGTAATGTAATGTAATGTTGATGCATGTGTAATAAAGTATTATTCTATTAAATGAGTATCTCCTGATTGAAATAACACTGTAATAATATGCAGTCACTTATATAATGTTGGACTCCAGAATGAATTCAATTACACTAACAAGCCACCATTAAAGTGATGATATTCTTCCTCTGCAGGCAGCTCCTCATCCTCTCCCTGGCTGTCTCAGATTTGCTCGTGGGCCTCCTGCTGATGTCGGTTCAAATCCTCTCATCTGAGGCTTGCTGGTATCTGGGTGACATCATGTGTGGTCTGAATTTTATTTGTCACTTTGTCATTACTTTTTCTTTGGTTGGAAATATGGTGCTCATATCAATTGATCGTTATTTGGCTATTTGTGATCCTCTACGTTATAACACCAGTGTTAATCTGAACAAAGCTAAAATCTGTGTTTGTCTCTGTTGGATTTCTTCTTTTTTCTATTATCTTATTTTGATGGATTTCATTTTTCTGCAACACCCTGATATGAATAATTCCTGCTATGGAAAGTGTGTAGTTGTTCTTAACCATAACACAAGATCTATTGACCTTGTCTTCACCTTCGTTGGCCCCATCACCCTCATCATAGTTCTGTATCTGAGGAAATTTGTGGTGGCTGTGTCTCAGGTTCGAGCCATGCTGTCCCACATTAGATCGGTCACACTACAGCCTGAAGTGGGAATAACTGCCATAAACCTGAGATGACAGCAACCAGGACTCTCAGTGTTGTGGTTGTTGTTGTGTTCCTGATATGCTTCTGCCCATATTACTCTCCATCCCTTACAGGTGATGTTATTGAAAGCCGACAACACACTTTACAAAGCAGTTGTTAAATATACCTGGTGTGTTCAAGTTCTTCCTGAACTTTAAACTGTAAAAAAGAACAGAACTAACATACAGATTTAGGGTGTCTGGTGGGGTCCAAATCCTACACACAATGCAAGAGAGCTCATTGAAATGGTGCTTATTTAAAGGGATTAACTTCATGAATAGCATCTTTTCAGACAAGCGGCCCATTTATTGAATTTGACATTTTTCTGTCATATAAAAAAAAGATTAATTTTCAAAATACTAATTCGATGCACACACCTGCGGCCTGTTTCCTTTTACACAACATAAAATCTTGTCACACCTGACCTTTCAAAAAGAGCGCCTGTCTCAATGCCGGACCGGGACACTTCAGATCAGCTCACATAGTCGATGGAATGTGAAAACATGCAAGAAATTTGAGCCCGGTATTTTGTTGCTCTCAAAAGCCACACAGAAATAGACAAAGTAGAAAAGCTCTAAATATAATTTTCAATAAACCCTTTCAACTTCTTAGCCCTTACTCTAACAACATATTTAGCATGCAATAACTACCAACTGGAGACCTGAAGAAGAAAAACAGATAAACTCGCTTGTGATTAAGTATCCCTAATATATAGCCCTTATATATATATATATATATATATATATATATATATATATATATATATATATATATATATATATATATACGCACACACAATTTGGGTTGTACTGTGAAAACTACAATCTCAATTGAATAAAAATACAGCTAGCATACGTATAGTTTTGATTCTCCTTCGAGCTTTTAACATGATTCTTATTCATTTTTCAGCCTTCAGGCCAACAAATCATTCATACTAATTCCTACTCACGTGTTATGAGCTAAAGTCTGACAAATATAAACCAACATTGAGACCGTTAATACTAATTAACAGATCAACCAAATGAATGATTTTAGATGCTAAGCAGTTTTAAACTTAAATTATATATAAAATTAATTATATGTTATTCTCGCACATGTCAAGTTACAGATTTCCTAAAGTAACTTAGTAGTCTTAGTTTTCTAACTTGGTTCACTGTTTAATTTAAGCAGCAGGACACAATTTAAAGACAAAAATCAGTTTTTTCTTGTCTCATTCCTCTCAGCATGCAGCGTCTCTACAGCAGGTTTCTCTCACATGAGCCAGGCTGCAGTATCTCAAGAGTAACAATGAGCTTCATAGATCTTCTAAACCAGGGATAAAAAAAGGCATAGATCAGAGGGTTAAGACATGAGTTGAAATAAAACACACATGTTACGATTGTAGCAGATGAGACATTAAACAAGGTGTCCTGGTCTGAGAGTGCAACACAATAATATGGACAGAGGCACAACAGAAAGACGACAATAACAACACCAAGAGTCCTGGCAGCTTTCATTTCAGATTTTTTAGCAGTTATGTTCATTGAAACCTTTAGAGGTAAAACTGCAACATGAGACCTCATGATACGAGCCTGAGTCACAGCCACCACAAAAACTCTCATATACAGAACTATGATGACAGTGACGGGACCAATAAAGGTGAAAAAGAGATCTGCAAGTCCAGCAATGTAGTTAATCACAACGACACACTCCCCAAAGCAGGAATTATACGTGCCAGGTTCTTCAAGGTTGTCTTTGAGTAGGACACTGTGAAGGAAAGCAGAACATGTCCAACACAGACAAACAGAGATCTGAACTCTTTTTTGTGTGACTTTGTTGGAATAATGTAGAGGCTCACAAATAGCCACATATCGGTCAACTGATATGAGCACCATGGTTCCTACTGAGGAAGAAGTAATAATATATGCAAGATACTGATACAGGGTACAAATCAAGTCACCAAGAAACCAGCAGCCTTCTGTAAGAACAACTTGAAAGAACATGATAAGGCCCACAAAGAAGTCTGAGAAGGCCAGAGAGAGGAGGAGGAGGTTGGTGGGGGTGTGGAGCTGCCTTAGGAGATAAGAAAACAACAAGCGTATTCTTTTTTTTAGCAGCAGATTTTCTATCAATTATTAAGAAACATCATATTTCATTTGAGTCTGAGAACCATTTCTTCCACCACTTATTCCCATGTAGCAGCTTAATACATTGATAAAATGAATACCTGAAGTGGGAGATGGAGATGATGACCAGCAGGTTGAGAGTCACAGTGAGCAGAGAGATGGAGGATAATAAAATGTAAGTGATTATAGATACAAAGTGAGGACGCACGACCTTCCTGCAGGAGGAGTTGAGGAGATGAGGAAAGCAAAGTTCATCATCTTCAAGACTTTTCATCCTCAGAGAGGAGACACGATGCCGCTGTGCTCTTCATGCAACTGATGAAGCTCTTTTCTTCCTCCAAATCCCTCCTTCTCTTTTACTCTGGAGACAACTTGCTCAAAGTGAATGAACTTCCCCCTTACTGTTTCATCTATCTTCATTGAGCTTCCTCCATGTATTTCACTTCATTCTATTCTTTTTACCCTTTTCTCCGAAACATCACAATTTCCATCATGCTCTGCAATGGGAAAGAGCAAAGCACATCTCCACACAGGCAGAGTCTCACGACGGTAGTGACCGGAAATAGTAGAAGAAAGGGTTCAGTTTCCTGAAGAAACCCAGCTTCCATCCGTCTGAAGTTAACTATACGCACTTTCTTTCATAAATTCTGGACCGAGCAAACTGTTTAATCATCTCCACCATGACAG